GTTTCCAGGTGTGGTTGAATTGATAACTGAGCTGCTAATACTTGAGAATATTCTTTGGCTCCCCTTGTGTCGAATCAATAAATTTGGGTTGAATATCTACCCTCGAAAACTGTTGCGATCCCCTATACTTGTGGGTTATCAAGACCTTTTTCTGGCGTCGTTGCCGGGGAGCATAGCACTATTCTTTGAGTCACTTGGGATTTACATATGCTAGACACTATGAAGAACTTGAAAGACGATCGAATTACTATTTTGCCCTCAACTACGAGGGGAGGTAAGGAACTGCCATCTAGCCTTGCACTAGATTCTCCTTCTGTTATAAGTAAGCTCGCGACACCTAAACCTGCTACTGCTATGAATTCTGATATGTCGCATGTTATTGATGATGCCACTTCTGCTATGCATGATACTTATGATGAAACTACTTCTATGCTTGATACTACTATGCCCCTTGGTGAATTTCTTGATGAGCAAATTTCTAAGTCTAGAGAAAGAGAAATTATTGAACCTGAATACGATGATGATAGTGATGATGAGAATATGCCTGCTATTCCTGAGGGTTATCTTTTTGATGCGTAATCTTCTGCAGCTATTTTTGCTTGCCAAGATAGATACGAACTTAAGAGTTTGCTAGTTAAATGGAGTAAAGAATCTCTTAGAGATAGAATGAGACCCGACCCTACTTTTGCTACTTCACCTATCTGTGTTCCCGATAAGGATTATTATGATTTTTCTATTGATCCAGATATAATGACTTTGGTTGAATCTGATCCTTTTTATGGCTATGAATCTGAAACTATTGTGGCACATCTTACTAAGTTAAATGATATAGCCACCCTGTTTACTAATGATGAGAGATCGCGCTATCTTTATTTGCTCAAAATATTTACGTTCTCATTAAAGGATGATGCTAAGATATGGTTTAATTCTCTTGATCTTGGTTGTGTGCAAAGTCCCCAGGATATGATTTATTACTTCTCTGCTAAATATTTCCCTGCTCATAAGAAGCAAGCTGCTTTGAGGGAAATATACAACTTCATGCAAATTGAAGAAGAGAGTCTCCCACAAGCTTGGGGGAGGCTTCTCAAGTTACTTAATGCTTTGCCTGATCATCCTCTTAAGAAACCTGAAATACTTGATATCTTTTATAATGGACTAACTGATGCTTCCAGAGATTACCTAGATAGTTGTGCTGGTTCTCTTTTCAGGGAAAGAACACCGGATGAAGCTGAAATTCTATTGAATAATATGTTGACAAATGAAAATAATTGGGCACCTCCCGAGCCACCTCCTGAGCCAACTCCTGAGCCAATTACTGAGCCTATTCCTAAACCAACTCCGAAGAAGAGAGGTGTTCTATTTCTCAGTCCCAAAGATATGCAAGAGGCAAAGAAATCTATGAAAGAAAAAGGTATTAAAGCTGAAGATGTTAAGAATTTACCTCCTATTGAAGAAATACATGGTCTTAATTTACCGTCTGTTGAAGAAGTATATGATCTCAACTACTTATTTACTGAAGAACCTCCCGATATCCCGACACAGGTAGTAAAGGTAAATTCTCTCTATAGATATGATAAAGCTGAAGTCCCTCCTACTAAAATTGCTAGTCAGTGCTTGGATGAGTTTGATGACTTTATGTTTAAGCAAGATGACTTTAATGCTTATTTTGGCAGACAATTAAAACATAATACCTTTCTGATTAAACGCTTGGGTGATTATATGGCTGATATTAGAGGTGAACTTAAACTTGTTAGCAAACATGCTTCTATGGTTACCACTCAAGTAGAACAAGTACTTAAAGCTCAGAAAGAAGTGCTTGATGAAATGAATAGTAAGAAAAATGATTATGCTGTTAAAGTGGCTACTAGAACTGGTAGAATGACTCAGGAACCTTTGTATCCTGAAGGCCACCCTAAGAGAATCGAGCAAGATTCTCAGAGAAATAATATTGATGTACCTAGTTCTTCTAAGAGGAAGAAAAAGAAAAATGATAGGACTTTGCAAACTTCTAGTGAACCTATTGCTGAAATGTGGTCTAAAGCCGCGTTAACCTCCTCCCTTGTGACATCCGCTTCCAGGATTGCTCTCATTGCAGGAGTCACCCGGGGCTTTCCTTAGTCTCCCCTCTAACTCTCCCACCCCCTCCCTGCTCCACTTCTTCATCCTCCCAGCCACATTAGTCATCACAGTAGCGACATCATCTCTCTTTTTCAGGCATCCCTCCTCCCTAGCTCCTTGAATCTCAGCACCGCACCCCTCTTCCTGCAACCACCAAGCCTAAGTGAAACCCCCGATCACCTCCACTCACCATTCGGGGCACGCCCTGTGTGTTAACAATTACCGGTCTGTGGTCGGAGTGACGAGGGGATCCGTTGATCACATTGAATTTCGGGAACCATTCGCACCATTTTGCATTGGTCGTGGCCCTGTAAAGGCGTTCACAAATGTACGTATCCACCTCCTTGCTGTGATTTCTCCACGTGAACTTATCTCCTTCATAGCCAATGTCACATAACTCACACGCCTCCGGAGCTGCCCTAAAATTATCCATAAACCTCTGAGGGCGGACATCACCACCCATCTTCTCGTCCCCGGTTAGGATCTCATTGAAGTCTCCAAGGCATAACCAAGGACGACCATTCTGGTGTTGCTTCCCAAGGATGCGCATCATCTTCCAAGTTTCCACTTTCCGCTCTAGTTCAGATTCACCATACACCCCCGTGAGTCTCCTTATGCTCCCATCCTCCTCCGTTACATCCACATCCACATGTCCCCTCCCATGTGGTCTTAGCGATATACTTAAACCCCTCCTCCAAAAAAGAGCTACACCTCTACTACGACCTACAGGATTCCAAACCACCATGTTGGCTAACCCCAACGACCATCGAAACTTCTCAAGCTCCTTCTCTGTTAATTTTGTCTCCGCCAAAAACAACACGTCGGGCTCCTCCGTCCTCCCCAACTCAAGGAGGCTACGAACTGCCGGGCCGTTCCCGAGACCCCGGCAGTTCCAACCGATCGGTTTCATTGGTCCCGGCGCGCTAGGAGAGGATAAATCATGATCCCTGCTAATGACTAATTTACCCCTCACTTAAAAAACGACCCCACATAAACTTGAGTACTGGCCCCACATTATCTAGTACTTTTGAGTACTTTCTTGCCTGTACTATCTAATACTACTCATTTATCTACCGTTAGATCGAGAACAACGGGCGGCTTATAAAAATGACAAATACCGTAAAATTTGTATTCAAAATATCGGGAAACAAATTCATGCATATATAGAGAACGAATGGAAACAGGTACAAATAAATTTTGATTAGTTACAATGGACGTATGTCTACCATTTAAAAAAAATGAGACCAACCCAAGGGCTAACCCTCGTTGGCATTTTTATAGGAAAAACTCCACGAGCACCGCATGTCAAAGCCGGGGCTTGAACTTGGGTGGGCTGGTAGCTACCCCAGCTGCCCAGCCAACAGGTCGACGCCCTATCCTCGTATGTCTACCATTTGACAGGTAACATGCATCTGTAGTGGGCGCCGGGCATGGGCTCTCGCACGCACGAGAGTTATAACTTTGAAGCCTAGTGCCTGGATTCTAATTGCGATCAACAATAAACAGCGAGTACTGAGTACTACTAGCTTGTGCTCTTTAAAATGTTGTTTTGCATAAAATTAAACGAACGAGATATTTTATTCAGGTTTTATAATGTGTTGATTAAATTTGATGTTTAATTTGAGAATTAATAAAAATGAGACCAACCCAAGGGCTAATCCTTATTGGCTTTTCTTTATAGGAGAAACTCCGCGAGCACGCGTCCAAGCCGGGACTTGAACTCGGATGGGCTGGCAGCAATCTCAGTTGCCCAGTCAACGGGTCGACGCCCCGTCCTCAAAGTTATATAATTCTCAAAGTCATATAATTATTTATAGGAGAATTATATGACTTTAAATTTAATTTGACAAATGTTGTTTACAGGAGTTTGCACAAGCTCTGTACCGCTTCATCGCTGGCACTAATCTGGCAGGTGGCCATACAATAATGATCTGAATAATCAAGGATCACTAAATCTACAATTTTGGCCCTTAGTATTGAAATGTAAATACCATTTGTATGGAATGTATCTCTTGTTTTATGTAATAAAATCTCGCTTTTCAAGATGCCTTATGGTCTATCCTAGCATTAACTCCACTATAAGATATCCATCCAAGTTCTTCATTATTTATAGTGTCACATGATTTTTTGTTGAACATGGTAATTCTGTATCGGATACCCACTATCACTACATGATTGAAATTACTTATGCATGTACCAACTAGATGTATATTTTCCTTGTATGAATTAGTACTTTACAACAAATTAAGTCTTGAGACGAGTTACCAAACATAATAAAGAAAAAAAATAGCTTATCAATCCATGTGGCGCGGCGTGCCGCCGCGCACTACTGGCTAGTTTTGATTAGTTAGGATGGAAGTATGGCAGGCAACATGCATTTGTAGTGGGCGTCAGGGCATGGGCTCTCGCAGGCACGAGAGTTACGACTTTGAAGTCCAGTGACTTGGATGTTAACTGCGACCAACAATAAACCGCCAGTACTGATGAGTACTAGCTGGTGCTCTTTTTGTCATAGCGCCGATGATTCTTGGCGTGCTGCTTTGATCGAGTGCAACATGGCAAAGGTGGCTGTGGATTGTTGATCACAAACCATGGGAGCATATGACAGCCTGTGCGTGCACTGGTGCCAAGCAATAGTTCTTTTCCTTGCCGGATTCTTTAACGAATGATGACCTCGCGAAGATGTTTCTTTCTTTAATGCGCGATCTGGTGCGCCAAGCCGCAAAGCTATTCATCAAGACACCTTCTAGAGTCCAGTATTCATGAAGCTATTCGCGCGCATCTAGTTAAGAGAAGCCATTGGAGCGCATCACGCTGCAGCTCAATCGTCGCGCGCCAGAGAGAGAAAGAGAGAGAGACGGAGGGAGGGAGGAGAGAGGTCGATGGCGCAATGGTGGGAGGAGTGGGAGCTGCGGACCCTCGTCCTCGCCAGCCTCAGCGCCCAATACCTCCTCGTATGGACGGCCGTATTACGTAAGAAGTACTATCTACATCCAGTGTCCATCGTTTCGTTCCGGCTGGCGCACATCGGCAGCGACGCCCTGGCCATCTTGGCCCTCGCCACCCTCTTCAACCGACAAAAGAATGGGCCGGGGTGTCACTACGGGCGTGGCAGCCGTGACTTGGAGTTGCTATGGGCGCCCATCCTGGTGATGCATCTCGGCGGACAGATCACCATAACCACCTACAAGATTGAAGACAACGAGCAGTGGGGCCGCCACATGCTAACTTCTCTGTCCAAGGTTAGTGCTCGCTCTTATTATGTTACGAAAGGGAGGAAATACTTTTCTCTTTATAATTTTTGGTCACACCAATCACCATGACCCATGTTAACACAAACCACCGAGGAGAGGCCATCGCGGACCGGGCGGTTGGATTGTTTTATCTGGAATGATTTTACGTCGTCCAGCTTTATGCATGTTTCCGTATAATATGACGTCCTTGCAGAAGACTCTTAATAAGCACAACAATATAATATGGCTTTCTTTACGGGTTCATCAAGAGGGCAGGTTCCTGCAGTTCCATTTTAAAAGAATAAAGTTATCCAGTTTACAAGTAGCTGGACCAAATACTCACTTTGTCCCAAAATATAAGATTATCTTTTATAGTATCAAAAACACCAACAAAGAGCACGGAACTAGTCCTTACAATTACTTAAATTCCCAAGGAATAGAGGTCTAAGAGAGTTCTAGTGTTATTTTTTCGAGTGGAACTCACGTGTAAGTGTCTATTAAGAGCATCTCCAGCCGCGCCCCCAACAAGGCCCGCCAGGCGATATTTCGGCCGTCAGTGTCAAAAAATCGGCCCAGTTTTCGCTGGCTCGGCCCGAAATTGGCGCCGGAGGACCCAACCCGAACCCGGCGCGCTGGGGGGCGCTCGGGGGCGCCGGGCGAATCGTTTTTGGCGCGAAGAGCCACGGGCCCCCCTTGCCAGCGACTCGCCTCTCTTCTCGTCGCTACGTCGTCCTCATCGCCACGTTTCCCGCGACGAATCAATGCCAAATCTGCGCGCGCTGCCGCGCCGGTCAGCCTCCATTGATGCCTCACGGGCGGTGCAGTGAAGGTCGGGCGACGCGCGTCCTCTCGCCCGCCACGCGTAACGCGGTGGCCACGCGTACTACGCAGCGCCTCCGCCTATATAAGCCGACCCCAGCGCGCCGGAGACACGCACAGAGCCTCCACCGCCGACGCGCCCATTTCTCCCCCTTCCTCCCTCCCCTCCTCTCGCCGTCTCCAGTTCAGAAGAATGGCCGAGCGGTTCCCAGGCGACGGCGCGGCGGCGAACGGCTTCGGCCGCCGCCATCTTCACGAGGATGAGGCTCGCCTCCTTTTCGAGGCCGAGTACCCGGTCCCGCCGGACAAGCGGGTGCCCGGGGCGTGCCGGTGCCACCACCACCCACCGGGGCGGCGCGGCGTGCGGAGATCGCACGTATCCGCGCGTCCCTGCCGCGGGCGGCGAGGGAAGGCCCGCGGTACACCCCCGACAGCCCGCTTTGGGAGCCCTACTTCCGTCGCCGCCACGCCGAACAGCTCGAGGCGACGAACGACGTCGTGCCCTCCGGCAGGCTCAACTCCGAGGGCGTGCCCGGCCGCACATTGGAGGCTGTCCTCGAGTACATCGAGGGCGGCAACACGCCGCGCCTCTAGTACCTTGCTCCCCCGTCCTTCTCTCGCCGACGTGGGAGCTCGTGGACGCCGAGGCGCATGGAGCGTCCCGGGGCATCCTCCTCCTCGTCCGGCCGCTCGTCCAGCTCTCCCTGCCTCCGCCCCGTCAAGCCGGAGCCCCAAGACACGTCTGTCAGTGCGTGCACCCGCAGCTGCGGCGTCCGCATCGGCGACTCCACCCTCCTCCGGCCGCTTCGTCCTCGTCGAGCCCAAGCCGGAGCCCGGCCTCCCAGCGGAGTACGAGGAGATAGCCCGGCGCTGCTTCTCTGACGAGGACGCCCTAAAGTGGGCGCGGGACGACTACCTCCGCGACGAGATGGTCCGGCAGCGCCGGGCCCTGGAGGAGATAGAGGACGAGCACGGCGTCGTGATCCTCGACAGCGACGACGACGAGGACGCCCCCGGACCGTCCAACCCGCCGCGCCAACCGGGGGAGGGATGCAACAGGGACGGCGGCGGCGGAGGCGGCGGCGACGACGACGACGACAACGACGGCGGCGGCGGCGACTACACGCGGTTCTACAGCCTCCTCGGCATGTAGAACTGCAAGGGCGGGCTGCAAGGGCGGGCGGCGGGCGGCGAGGAGCGGCAAGGGAGAATGCGACGAGCGGCGATGGAGGCGGCGAGGAGCGGCCCCTAGTAGTTTTTTTTCTTTTTTTTGTAAAATATGTTTAAGTTTGAACGAACTCGCCAAAGTTTGCGTTGAATTTGCGCCGTGTTTGCGCCGTGTTTAAGTTTTTCCAAAAAAAAAACGTGGGCGCCGCGACTGGGGGCATCACGCCCCCAGCGCGCGGTTTAGCGCCGGTGCGCCCCCAGGGGCGATTTTTAGCCCCTCCTGGGGGGCCAACGGCTGGAGATGCTCTAAGGTCATAGAGTTCTGCATGACTCTATCAAAACCGATATTCTCGATTTGATCAAAATTTAGTCCGATGCAAGTTGTCTAACCGCTATTTGGTTGTATAGCCAAGGAGCCTACAAGAGGGTGCCGCTTTATTTGGTCCGAAATAATTGCAGATTAAAAAAATGTTTGTGAATTTAAAAATTATTCTAAAATATTATGCTCCCTAGAAATGTTGGTTCTTGGTGCATATGGGCTTTGAGGGTCATTACTGGGCCCAGCTAAAGGGTATTTTGCATGTTAATTAGGTTATTTAGATTCGTTCTCAGGCTTTCACGCTTCCGACTTCTTAGTTGTGGGAATAGGGAGATTGCTTCTTCTTGGATTCGTCAATTTCTCTCATGCGTCCTAACGGTTCCCTACAACCCCATACCAGGAACTGAGTGATGGGCGGCGGTCGTATGGTACTCTTTGTGCTGCGTCTCGACTGTGTGTTATTTGCTTATGGTCGATTGGTGCTTTGGGGTACAAAGGAGCTCACATAACCACCACTGACAGTCAGCAAGACTAAAACGTGTAAAAAAGCATTACTACAGCCAAAAACCAAACAGAACAACAAGCGAAGCAGTTAACAAAGAAACAAAACACAACCATGCCCAGCATAATTAAAGCCTGACCTAACATAGACAAAAGCAAATTGGAACAACTGATCGTAGTAATGAAAAGTCCGAGACCTCTGGTAGATGCAGGATAGCAAGTAAATACGCACTATGTCGTGGGCCATGTGGCACTATGTGTGTATTACTCTGGCGATTATTTTTCTCAATCAGTTTTTTGGTCAACCTTTTTTATATTTTGGTCGGTTTTCTATTAAAATCCTTTAAAAAATATTATGTGTGATTTGTGAATTTAAAAAATCACAAATTTTTAAAGATGTTTGTGAATTTAGAGATTAATCGTAATGTAAAAATTGTTCATGAATATGAATAAACTAATCAGGAATTTTAAAAACTGTTCATGATTTAAAAAAATAGTATTGATATTGTTAATATAATTATGGATTTAAAAGAGCTTATGAAAAAAATTGTTTACTAATATGACAAAAATCTTCATCAATCTTAGAAAAAAATATCACAAATATGAAAATAAACATGTAAAGAAAAAAATAATCAGAAAATCAAAATAAATAAAACCGGTCAAAAAAGAAAAAAAATGAATGAAACCTTCCTAAAATTGGAAGTATCGTCCTACATGGCCGACTCAATACTGCCTGCAGGGTCCGCGTTTGCTCGACTTCCTCCGCGATATGCACATAATATGAATTGCCTTAATAATCCTTGGTAGGAAAATAGAATTAATTTCACAATTGAAGAATGACGCAACAAAGCGCTCATTGCACTCTTGTACTTTCTACCTGCTAGACGTAGATGCCATGATTGAAAGGAACTAGACCCCAACAGGTAGTGTTTGGGTTTTCCACCGAAGGAGTCGGCCCCCAAGGGATGTGGAGGTGTCGGGGCTCCACTATGATGCAGAAAAAGAGAAAAAATCGGGGGATAGTATCCCATAGAACAGACACTACAAGTACTGACATGGTCAGGCAAGCGCTCGAAGCCATGAACATAGTAATACCGAAAAAGGGTTTCCCCCGCTTTGTATTCCAAAGCACCAACACCGAGTACAGATAACGCTGTGGCGAGCAGCACAACACACCAGGAGAAAGAAGAAGAAGAAACAAATGCCAACCACGGCAGCTTGGCAAAGCGCGGACGACCCGCCACCACGGCGCCCACCAGAAATAAATCACCACAGACCAAGGCTCCGATCCGCCGCGTACCAAGCAGCACGTCCAAGAAGGGATGCGACGCCGGCGACGCTGCTGCCCGGACGAGTCCTCAGGTTTTCCCGGGCACGCGGAGGGAGGTGGGGGTGGAAACTCCCGACACCCTCCAGGAAGGAATGGTGGCACCCGCAGGTGTCACCGCGTCAGGGCTGAAGCCGGCAGGGATTTCTCCCGCATACCAACCCCAACCTCCCAACCGGACGGAACCCACCCGCCAAACCGTCGCCCACCACCATGCGCCAACGCAGTAGCGCCGCCACCCACGCCGCCTCACTACGAACACCACCACGAGGCCAAGAGGACCGGAGAGAAGCTCACCATGACGGGAGCAGCAACACCGACGCCGGGCGGGAGGGAACCACCTCCACCGCCGTCGTGCGGGAGGCCCGTGCCTCCGGCACCGTCGCGGTAGCCGTCCGGACGCGGCAGCGGGGCATGCCGGGCCACCCCCGGCCCAGCCAGGCCCAAAGCAGGCCCGTTAAGCCCCGCCGGCCGCGATGCAGCAAGCCAGCGTCGTCGCCGCCGGCGCCCAGCCACTCGTCGCATCTCCCCCGCCTCCCAGAAGCCACGCCGGAGCCATCCCCGCCGCCGGCCCGCCCAGGCCCAGATGGGGCCCGAAGGGCCCAGATCTGGGCCGAGCGGACGACGCCAGATCCCGCCACCGCGCCGCCCCGCCGCCAACGGCGGCGCCGCCGCCCAGCTGCTCGCCTGCATGCGCCACGGATCCCCGCCGCCACGCCAGACCGCCGTCGCCTAGATGCACCCCCCGGAGCCGCACCGCCCGCGCCGGAGAGCGACCGGGAGGGGAAGGGCCAGGAGGC